GGAAGCCCTTTCTTCTGCGGCTCCCACAGGTTGGCCTGGATGTCCAGAACATCCAGCAGATCCACCACCACCCAGAACAAACGGTTTCTGATCTCCTCCTTCTTCTTGAAAGCCTTCACGTACTCCATGTGGTCGATAGCGACCAGGATCACGAAGAGCGCGGGAATACTGATGGAGAGCAGGAGCGTCAGAGCTTTCCGAGCCAATGCGTCCAGGCTCTTACGGTCAGCCTTGTAGTTCTGGTAAACAAAATACACCTTAATCTCCAAGACGAAGATGTAAAGGAACCAAAGTATCATGGCGTAGCCTCGTTTTGCCGTCCTCACTTCAGCCCCGACCCACACCGCCACGTACCGCAGCACGATGAGGAAGCAGAGGTCTCCCACCGTCACCATGATGCAGATGCCGATCTTCCGTGGGCCGTGGTTCTGCTCCACTAGGTAGGCGTCCATCAGTGCCATGCTGCTCATGATGATGATAGTGGACAAGCAAACATGTGGCTTGTTGGTGGGAGGCGGTGGCACCATCCTGCTGACCTCTTCCCTGAACCAAGGGGACTCAGAGTCTTCTGCTCCTCGATGTTGCTCCCATGGAGCTCCAGGATTCACTAACTGGAAACAAACAAATCACCAAGATGAAATCTAAATTATACTCTCTTCCCAGATCACTCTGTCTTGCCAATAACCTGTCTGAATTTAAATTGCTGCTCAAAACTCACTTGTTTTCAGAATGTTACCTTTCTTAAGTTGACTTCTGTTTACTCTATCTTATGCTGTCTTATCTATATATTACTCTCTGGATGTCCGATGTTTGCTTTACTTTCTGTATTATTGTTTGATGTTATCCTCACATTTCTGATGTTTATTGTAAAGTGTCCTTGAGCTCTGGAAAGGTGCTATATAAATAAAATGTATTATTTATTATTATAAGATGCAAGTCCCAATGCACAAACCATCAAAGCACATATGTTTAGGGTACAATGGACCCTTTTCACAAGACTGTGATGATGCTTTTAACGGTCATCAGCATTGTAAATCCTCAAAAGTTTTTTATATATACATATGTTTTTTTTAAATGTATGTAACACTTTATTTAGATGGACCCTTTTGAGCATTCTGTTGACAATAAGTAACTTTGCACCTACATGTCAACTAACACTCATCAGAGTATTAGTAGACTGTCTGATTAATATCTGCTAACTCTTTATTGTTATATTGTCCCAACAGATATTCTACTGACTATAAGTTACTTTGCAAGTACATGTCAACTTATTCTAACCCTAACCCTACCAGTCTACTAATACCCTACCAACACTTGAATATGTTAAAGGGACCATCAAAATAAAGTGAAACCAAAATGTGTCTACATTTATAACACTATACTTTGTCTTATATCACCTTTGCATTAAATTACCAAAAATAAAAAACTAGTTAAGGCTAACGTGAGGGTGTTTCTAATGCAGTGTCTATGGGAGGGACGGTAAATTTGACATCGTTCTCTCTTCTGACTGCCGCTATCTGAAAGTCATGAAAACACTATCGTGGAGTTTTTCTTTTGCTATTTGAGCAAATAGGAATGCAAAAAATATTTTTGTTTGTACTCTCCCATTCACTGCTCTTCAAGTTAACCCAACTATGATGACTTGCACTGCTGAGAAACACGCAAATGTGAAAAAGGTTAATCTTGAAGAATTTCTAGTCTGACAGTATTTTGGCCTTTGGCCACTGATCTACAAAGCTGCATTAAAAAGGTTTTGTTTTGTGGCCATCAGCCAGACACAGATACAAGATACAGGGTGGCCAAAATTATTAAAACACTAGTATTTTCAGCAGCTAAAAATGGTTTTAAGTCAGTTATTTCTATCTTTTGCTGTAGTGTGTCAGTAGGAAATATCAGTAATATATGTTTGTGCTGCACACAGAGATCTGATCTGAGCATCATCAGTCTGTCTGGAGTCACATGAAGAAACAGAACAAACTGAGACAGACTCAATCCAGAAGAACTAGAAGAACTGCGCTTCAAGAAACCTTCTAAAGCTACAGTGCTGTTAAAAGTTTTAGGCACTTGTGTAAAATGTGTAAAAAATTGTTAAATCAGAAAATGTGGCAGTCTCTTCCAAGGAAGAATTTTGCATCTTTAATATTAAAGTTAAAATTGGGCAGGGCTTAGGCTCAGGAAGAATGTGCACTGGCAGAATGTGAGGAGGCGATCAGTTGCACTGATTTAAAACTCTGTTGGTCAGTTGGTTTGTCTCAGTGGGAGTAAAAATATCCCAGCATGCTCTGCACACACATTATCTACCAATGAAAGTCAATGGCAGATTTCAAATGCAAAATTAGACATTGATATGTAAACAGCACAACAAATGGACGCATGAAATATTCCTATAGAAAGGTGACGGGCTGCATGCCCAGTTATTTGTTTAATCCATGCGCTTTCATAGAACATCAATAAGAAGTCTCAGTCATCATTTATTTTAGTGGTTGCAAATATAACCTGAGAATATTACCACCATTGAACATCCTGCTTTTGTGGGAATGATGAAGAAACACGCACATACACCAATACTAGAGAAATACAAAGACTAGCTTAAGACAAAAAAAAAAAAGGTCAACACCAAACCTTTGTCAATCAAATCAAATGCTTAGAGTTAACATGAAATCTAAATTTACTAAATTATGTGAAACATTCCTCATTTCAGTTCCTCATGGATGAAATCACAAAATGCGTCAGATCATGAAGATAAAAGAGACATGAATGCTGTTTCATGTAGACTTTAAAGTGACTCTGCGGTAACGTTTTTCTCTCTTCCAGGACTTTGCAACTTTAACACGGTGTTCTGAGACACTTCAGTTTCGCAGGATTCTGTTAAAGTGAATCTCTGTCAGCTTCTTCCATTACATGTCAGGTAAGCAAATGCATGAGCAGTAACAGGCTTGTTAGGGCAGTGTGTTTTCTTCATCTGTTGGAAGTTATTCACACAGCAGTACATTCATTCTGTTAATTAATAACTAACATCGAACATGATAATATTAAACATCATCTGCAACAGTAGCATACTACAATAGTTTTGTCTTTTTTCATTGAACACTTAATTAATTGAAAGCTAAGGCAGATTGGGCAAGGTGTTAAAAGGGCTTTTTCAGATAAATGGTGTTGGCAAAAAGGAACTACATTTGCAATTAGATAGCGGCTAATTGGAGAATAAAATGAAGAGAGGAGAATCACTGGTCATTTTCCCTTTGTAACGCTGTTTAATTAAAAACCCTCGTCAGAATTGTAATTAGGACATGAGACAGTCTAATCTTCAGTCTAATCAGTACACTTGTGTGTCTGACCTGAATAAAACATGCTGTAACAAACACACAAAGCGCATATGTACACAACTCTTTATCAAAGCATCACATTAAATGCTTTTTCTACTAAAAGGACATTTGTTGCTTTAGTGGGTTTTTTTGTTCTTTTTAAAATTACATTTTATTTATCTTTTATCATATTGCATGATTAGAAAATAAATACTCAAATGAATCACAATAGTTTTTTTTTCTTTTGAACCAAATGTTATGATATGTATAAATCTCATAATGTGTTTGATTAATGATGAAACTTTCCATTTATGAGGCAGGCTCTTTGATCTTCTCAAAATAACAGTGTCTATTACGCTTTTACAACACCATTTCTGATCAAACTGTGTTTGAAATGGTTTACTATCATACTCCATGCTGGACATACCTGGGCTGCGTTTCCCAAAAGCATCGTAAGCTTAAGTACATCGTAGACCCATTAAAACCGATCAAATTAAGCTTACGATGCTTTTGGGATACGCAGCCCTGATCTCTTGAGAAAATGTAACTATTTAACAAGTTATGAGTTTACGGTGTCCTGTATGGTTTTTAAAGCAGTGCACCAGTGTGACACAATCATTTTTTAAAAATAACTGTAGTTTGCTGAATCATTTTCGCTAGACCTGTGTCTCGAAGCATTCCCAACTCTTCACTAGTCACTATCCTGAGACGAGACAAATACCAAGTCGAGAGCTTCCAGAAATCATCAGTCACTGGTGAAACTTCTACTGGTTTCTGCACAATCAGATGGTGTATTGCACATCTACTAGCAGGACCAACCTGGACCAAAGTAACCAGCCAAACCTGGACCCCCGATGAGCATGACCATTTAAAAAATTTTGTAGTTTGTCCAATGACATACTTAGAAAGCTGGCATAGTATGCAACGTAAATGTATATGTTAGGAAGGAAGTTTAGCATTATGCAATTACTGACTACCTTCATTCCATTATGCTCCACTTGTATTTCTCTCGGATGAAAATAATGAAGCTAGCAATATGTTGTAAAAGCTTACATCCACATTGTTTCATCAGAGATGTGTGTTTCTTTGTGCAGGTAGTCTCCAGATTCCGGGTCACGTATGTTCACACCTGGTGACCTCGGGCAGTGGCGTTTGCTCCTGCAGCGCCCCCTGTGGAGGAGTCTGACTGGATCGACCCGACGCCACAGAGTTCTTCTGTAATTCCACTCCAAACCCAGGCGGGGCGCTCTGCAACTGTCTCCTGTACTGCACAAAGCTGCACGTCTTCAGAACGATGGCGAGGATGTTCTTGGCCATGAGTATCCCAGACACTCTGTTGTCCTTATAGAGGAGCATATTCCCTCCACGGATGAAGAGAGTGACGATGTTAATAGTCACCAAACTCAGAATGGGGTAGAGCATCATCTTGTGAGGACTGATGTTGATGCCTTGCATGCTGATCTCACTCAGAGACACGCAAGGCAGCACTAAAAGAAGAATATAACAGTAGAAAAACATCAGTCCCTCAGCCCAGAGTGGAAGCCCTTTCTTCTGCGGCTCCCACAGGTTGGCCTGGATGTCCAGAACATCCAGCAGATCCACCACCACCCAGAACAAACGGTTTCTGATCTCCTCCTTCTTCTTGAAAGCCTTCACGTACTCCATGTGGTCGATAGCGACCAGGATCACGAAGAGCGCGGGAATACTGATGGAGAGCAGGAGCGTCAGAGCTTTCCGAGCCAATGCGTCCAGGCTCTTACGGTCAGCCTTGTAGTTCTGGTAAACAAAATACACCTTAATCTCCAAGACGAAGATGTAAAGGAACCAAAGTATCATGGCGTAGCCTCGTTTTGCCGTCCTCACTTCAGCCCCGACCCACACCGCCACGTACCGCAGCACGATGAGGAAGCAGAGGTCTCCCACCGTCACCATGATGCAGATGCCGATCTTCCGTGGGCCGTGGTTCTGCTCCACTAGGTAGGCGTCCATCAGTGCCATGCTGCTCATGATGATGATAGTGGACAAGCAAACATGTGGCTTGTTGGTGGGAGGCGGTGGCACCATCCTGCTGACCTCTTCCCTGAACCAAGGGGACTCAGAGTCTTCTGCTCCTCGATGTTGCTCCCATGGAGCTCCAGGATTCACTAACTGGAAACAAACAAATCACCAAGATGAAATCTAAATTATACTCTCTTCCCAGATCACTCTGTCTTGCCAATAACCTGTCTGAATTTAAATTGCTGCTCAAAACTCACTTGTTTTCAGAATGTTACCTTTCTTAAGTTGACTTCTGTTTACTCTATCTTATGCTGTCTTATCTATATATTACTCTCTGGATGTCCGATGTTTGCTTTACTTTCTGTATTATTGTTTGATGTTATCCTCACATTTCTGATGTTTATTGTAAAGTGTCCTTGAGCTCTGGAAAGGTGCTATATAAATAAAATGTATTATTTATTATTATAAGATGCAAGTCCCAATGCACAAACCATCAAAGCACATATGTTTAGGGTACAATGGACCCTTTTCACAAGA